ACTCTTACTCTGCATGTTCTGTGTTACATCGCCCCTCACAGGAGGTATTTCCTGCTGCCTACATGCAGTAAAAGCTTCACACATCCATCTTTACTTCCAGCAGTGCAGGCAAAGGAGCGACAGTCGGCAGTAAGTCCTGACAGCTGAGTAAAGGTACCGCCCACATCTCATCTATTGCACCCTCCAGTCTTCAAGGTGGTGGGGGGACATTTCACTAAAGTGGCAAACCAAGCAGCTTCTCCACCGACAAGGGGGTAAAATCAGTCCCTTATCTTGTCTGTGATTGGGATAAACAACTGAGTGAAGATGTTATTTATCCACCAGCTGACAGCAAGAAAGAGAGGAGATGGGAAAACCGGGAGTCTGCAGGGACGATGCCAGGCTCCAGCCCACCAGCCCCCGGGCTGCCCACGCTCCTGTCTGCCGAGCCAATCCGGTTAACTGCGACCCTGACAGCTGTTATCACAATCACTGAGATAAATCGATAGCACAGCAGCATGCTCGGGGGTTGAACAGATGGAGGTGTACACTCGTGCAACGTTATGATACTGTAAACACACAGGCATGGTAATCAGACACAGATCACACTGATTAACTTAAAACTGAAATGATTCTGCTGCTGTAGCAGCTACCAGGCTCAGATCATCTAAGGATTTACTGGATCAACCTCTCCAACAGTAAAATAAAGGCACAGATCACAACTGGAGTTGGAAAATCCTTCAGAATTGTTGCTAAAATATGAAAAGGTAAAGTTTCTCTTTGATGAAACATGTGCATCAGTGTTCACGGATGTTCGCTGCACCTACAGCAGGTAATAATTACTTTGTAAATGTAGGATCAAAACTGACTGAAAAAATGTGTACTCCTCAGTTAGGGGGGGGGGGGGGGGGGCTGAGGACTTAATAAAAATCAACCCAGCTTCTATGTTTTTGACACCGGTAACAGAGAGGGAAGTAACTGAAATAGTTGGTGGTTGTCAAAGCAAAACATCTACAGATTGGAATGATATAGACATGTCTTTGATAAAGAAGGTTATAGGGGTTGTTGTATTTGTAATTTGTCCTTCACAGCTGGTTCATTTCCATGTAAAATGAAAACGGCTAAGGTTATTCCATTATACTAAGAGGGAGACAATAAGCAGTTCACTAATTATAGACCAGTTTCATTATTATCGAAAATTTCGAACATTTTAGAAAAGTTATTTGTCAGTAGATTGGATAAATTCATTGAAAATCATAATCTGTTATCAAATAGTCAGTGTGGGTTCAGAACAAACAGATCTGGCATTAATGGAAATTGTTGAAGAAATCACTGGTTCTATAGATAAGAGGGAACATGCAGTTGGAGTATTTGTAGATTTAAAAAAGCTTTTGATACAATTGATCATACAGTATTAATTAATAAACTTCAAAAATATGGTATTAGCAGAGCTGTTCTCAGTTGGGTTAGAAGTTATTTAACCAATAAAAATCAATTTGTACGAACAAATAATTATAAGTCAGAACTGCTCAGTATCAATTGTGGGGTACCACAGGGGTCAGTTTTGGGTACAAACATCGACATATAAATATTGGACAATGGGTTTCCATAGACTCCAATAACATGTTTTTGAGGGTAAATGGGAGGTGGATACCACTGCCATGTTGATCGTGTCACAGGTTCCGTCAAGCCCAGACAATTCCGCAAAAGAGAAGAGAGGTGGAGCTGAGGGTGGGGCTGTAAGGCTGGGATCAAATGACGACACCCGGTCGAACTAGCTACAAGCTAACCTCAAGCTAACGCAAAGCTAACACGGAGGTGGGAGCTAAGCTAACGAAAGTAGCAACCTAGCTACAACCTGAGTTAACTGTGCACAACACCAGAGCTTCGGAGTCAGAGATACGCCGGGCTGACCGCTGGGTAAAACCGGGTGGAACACAGAGGTCTCCGAGAGCTCCACAAGCCAGCAGCCACACAGCAGACAAGCGCCGCTGCGATCTGAGATGCGCAGAGCTGCCGCTGGGGAGAACCGGGTGGAAAGGTTTCCATCCCAGAGCTCCACAAGCCGGCAGCCCGCGCAGAAGTCAGGAGCCGCGATCAGACAGAGATGCGCCGAGCTGCGGGGAAGGGAGAACCGGGTGGAAAACTTCGGTTTCCATCCGAGAGCTCCACAAGCCGGAAGCCAGACACTCAAAATCCTGGAACAGTTTCCAAGCCAGACCGAGGCTCTACTGAGGCCTTTCCACGGAGCTAGCTCTGTGGTCACGTGGGTCTGATGCTCATTAATTATACAGAATTTTAGGCTTTTAATACACTTAAACAGAAGAGTGAGAAAAAAAATTCACCCCCCTCAGAGTTGTCATGAGTGTAAACTAGATAATTTAAACCAAAACATGATTTGGTACCAGGCTGTAAACATGTTTATTTCTGCTGTGAAACTGGTATTTTTAACATGGGAGTCAATGAGGATTTGCTCGCTTCTGACACCAGCGGATGAGGGTGGAACTGCAATTTTTGGTACTTCCGGGATTGCTTCCATTTTTGAGCCGCATTGCGGGGGCTTGGGTCCAAAGCTATTTATTTTACATATTAATGATTTGTGTGAGGTTTCCAGAGCATTTAAATGTGTTGCATTTGCAGAGGATACAAAATTTTTTGCTTCGGGAGAAAATTTGCAAGATCTTTGTAAGGTGGTAACAACAGAAATGGCTAAACAGAAACTATGGTTTGATTTGAATAGATTGTCATTAAACTTAAACAAAACTAAAGTTATGTTGTATGGAAAACATATAATAAACACACATATAAACTAAGCAATAACTATAAATTATATTACTATAGAAAGAGTGTATGAAAATACATTTCTGGGTGTAATCCTTGATCACAAATTATGTTGGAAACCTCACATAAATTATGTTAAAGGAAAGGTAGCACAGAGTATTGGGGTGCTGGGAAAAGTAAGACATTTTGTGAATTAAAAGGTGTTGTATATACTGTACTGCACACAGATAGTACCATACCTAACTTACTGTGTTGAAGTGTGGGGAAACACCCATAAAACTACCCTGAATGCACTTTGTACGTTACAAAAACGAGCCATAAGGTTGGTCAGTCATGTGGGATATAATGAACACACAAACAGCTTGTTTATAGAATTACAAACCTTAAAGTTCAAAGATTTGATAGAATTTAGGACTGCACTATTTATGCACAAAGTCAATAAAAAAGTTCTGCCTGAAAATATTCAAAAACTGTTTGCAGAAAGACAAGGTGGATATAAGTTGAGAAGGGAATTAAATTTGAAGCAGCATTATGCTTGAACGAAACTGAAAAGTATGTGTGTTTCAATTAGTGGAGTTATTTTAATGGAATAGTCTTGAGGAAAGAATCAAAGAAAGTTTAGTGCAATTTATGAAATTATATAAAGAATGAATTTTTTTTCCACATATAGACAAGAGGATCACTAATTTGTATATGTACTGTAGTGATAATATATATTATCATTGTTGTAATTGATGTTGATACTTTTGAGTTGTTGTATTGTGATGTTGTGTTCAGAAGTTGTATTCTGATATTTAAATTTTTTTTAAGTATGAGTAAATTGATTTAGGGATAGGTGAAATAAGCTATGCTTCTTCCTATTCCTTTTTGAACAATTATGGTTGTGATGAGTTATCCAAGTTGGAAATTAATATATGTATTGTTTTATTTGTTTGAAATAAATGAGAAAAAAATTACAATTAATGTTTCAAAACTTGCACTGTAAAAAGTAACAAAATTATATAGATTATTTTTTTTTAATAAAGTATAATGTTGCTCTGCAGTAGAGTTTGGTGATAAGGAGGTCTGCTGTAGTCTATCATAGCAACAATGTCGCTGTGAATATTGCTCATTAAAAACCAGAGATTTAATTCAGGGCCTTTACACATAGCCTGAATTTCAGGCTATGTGTAAAAACTAAGGATTATGGGTGCTTCTCAATGTCAAGGAACCTCGCCTTGATGTCTTGGTCCCGCCCTGGATTCCTACGTCATCAGGAACCGCCAAGGCGTGTTCCAATGTTCATGTTCTACTGAGGCGTCTGTCCTCCGTTTGTTAGCCATTTAGCTAGCTGACAAGGATAGGCGGGAGGCGCCTTGTTGCCTTCCCTTGGTCAAAAATTTCCCAAAATACAGCGCGGTATTTTCCAAAGAAAGGTGGATCAGGAGCCAACAGCTACTTCGAGGGCAACTTTCTAGTTTAAATGTAAGTCAACTAATTGTAGCTATCGGGCTGATGTCTGAAATGTGTTTTAGATCCAAAACAGTTATCTATGGTTAGTTAGTTACTAGCAGGTAGTAACTAGCTTACACATTTAATTTAACCAATATATACACAACTAAAACAGTAAAAGGGTCGTTATACATCAATATTGAAACTTATACGTATAAAATACGTTACCTCACGAGTCACGATGTGACGTGGCATGACCGCGGCAGCCACGGTCACACGAGGCAAGTATTTATAACTGTTTGACCGAGGAAGGACAGTGTCCTTGTGACTTGACATTGAGAAGCACCTTTAGGTTTGTGTATGAAAAGCATGCTTCCTGTACGTCTGTCTGCAGCTGTACCGTTTTCTCTGTGGTGACACCTGCTGTTTAGCAAAGGTACTGCAGGAAGAGTGTCACGTAACCAATGCATGGCCATTTCTTAAATGCCATGAAATTATGTTTTAAATGACAGAACTTATCAATATTTTAACACAAATGTGCTTTCTCACAAATGAACAGCTATCAGAAGCTATGAAGGAAGTTAGAACCAAAACAGAAACCTTGGAAAGACTGATACTGTTATTTATCTGATCTTATTTATTAATTATTTTAATCAATTTGATCAGTTATGTATCACCCTATCTGTGTGGCTAATTAATGTATCTTCATTATCCTGATTATTGTGTTTGTAGTAAAGAAAGAAAAAACTAAAAACTTTGGTCTTTTCTACATATTTGAATTTTTCTCTCCTCCTGCCACCCTGACTTACCTCTTCTTGATGAGGTCCAGTGCAGACCCAATGAGCCCGTCCTTCATCTTATAGATCTTGGCTCCGTAGCTCGACAGGTCTGTCCCCTCCAGAAGGAGCGCTGGGCAGCAGCTGGAGGGGCGCTCCCAGTTCTCTCTGCAGGGTGGGAAGGGAACCGTCCCAGCTGGCTCCAAACTGCTCCTCCTCCGCCTGGCATTCCCATCATCTCCTCCAACAGCAAGGGTTTTGTCCTGGACGGAGCTGGCCTGTGGCTGCAGGGGTGCACGTGGCGACGGTCCTGTGCAGATTGGGGAATAGGTGCTGGTGGTGGAACTGGAGGTTGAAGTGATCACATTATTGGAATCAAGATTCTCCAAGGAGCTAACAGTCTGCAGGACTTCACTGTTAGCGACATCTTCACCTGTACTCTGGAATTCACCCATCTCCTCAGGTTCACCTCTCTGCTGACTACCAGCTTCCACCTGAAACGGAGTCTGATCAGAGAGCAAGGTTTGGGTGTCTGAAGGACCGCCATCTTGTCCACCTGCTGTAGACTCTGCGCTCTGCTTCCCCTCTCTCTGCCTCATCATCTTAAACTCCTCAAACGTGGGGATGTGCAGACGTCCCACAGGCTGCCGGCGCCGTTCACACACTGGATCTGTTTCACTGTTGTTTACTGAGATGTTGTCGGTTGTGTAGGATGTCTTGACTGCCGTCGAGCTGCCCGGGGAGCTGTGGACAGCCAAGTTGGGGCTACTGTTCTGCCTCCTGAGCTGTAACCTCCTTAAGACCTCCTGCTTGATCTCCTCTGGAGACGTACGCATTGTGCACAGAGGCCTGGGGCAAGCACCTGTTGACATTCCTTGACTCACATTTTGCCGCTCACTGGTTGCAGCATTTGGGGTCACCTGAGGCCGTAATGGGACGGGTTTTAAAGACTCAATAGCTGACCTAGCACTCTGAAGGCGGAGCTTTTCCCTTAGGCCTCTCCTTGCATCCCATTCGTCAATACCACCTGGAAACAGCAGCTGAGGAAAAAGTGGCAAGTCCTTTCTGGTTAGTCCATGTCGAGGGTAAAACGCTAAACTTTCTGGGTTGGGTACCAGCCCATGGGCTCTCAGTACAGATCCATCAGGAGGCCCATCATACCAGTGGCTAGAAGAAGTGTAGCGCAAAATAAACTCACTATCCAAGCTCCTGCAAGGAGCAGCCCCAAGGGCACAAAGGCCAGAATCTGCTACTGTGCTCCAGTTTAGGTTCTCCATACTCCTGTAAGGTCTGCTGCCATTGCCGTTGCGGTTGCTGGAGCCCGGGACCTGCCCCTGCCCTGGCTCCATCCCAACAGGACCCTGCCTGCTGTTGGAGCAATACCTCATCCCCATGTTAGTTAGCAGGGTGCTGCTGTTGCACCTTGCCATGAGTGGGTAGTGAGGTCCCTGGATGTCCGAGTACTGAGGGATGGTGGGTCTGTGTCGAGGGAAGGAGTTCAGAGGGTCTGGGGACAGAGGGAGGTTGGCGATGCATGGCTCCATGTCTGCAAGGAGGTCAAAGGGAGACTTGCAGCCAGACGGGGAGCCGGCTGAGAGTGCGGCAGAGGAAGAAGAGGGGTAGTCACATGGTGGAGGGAGCTTCACGTCTGGCATAGCTGTGGGCTAAGGGAGAGGCCCTCAAATACATCAGCAGGTACAAAGACTGTCCACCTGCAGGGGCAAGAGGACAAATGCTTTAGAACACCAGAAAGAAAAGAAGGAACAAAACAAGTTTAATATCACATCGTTTCTTTTCTTAAATGTTATTTTTTCAATTGCTCAGCTCTGATTTCCAGCCTGTCTAACGGACCCTAATGGACAGGTCTGTCAGAGTCCCTCAGCCACAGGAAGGACAGTATAGTCCACATGAAGACACATTATATAACAGAAGCTCTGGAGATGGAGACTTTGCCTTAGAAGTGTGGTTTCGTCCCACTCCAGAACAATCACATTTATTTTATATAACTGCCCCCCCCCCCGAGGCCTCTTCCCTTTTCTCTTTCTGCAGTAACAATAATAATAGAGATTATTGCTCTGCTTGGCTATTAAAACATGACGGTGGAGAGACCGACACAAAGAGACAGCCAGTTCCAGAGCTGGTGAAGGAGACAAAGATGAGACTTGGATGGAGGAAATGAATGTGATGTTAGGAGGAAGCAGTATGCTGAAGGACAGTAATGAAGATAACTGCTTAGCTGTTCCTCTGGAGGCTGGCTCCACTCTCTCCCTCTGAGTAATCAGACGGTGGTTCCACATCAGGATGGAGACGAGAGAGCAGGGTTAACCGTGGGTCTTCCTCTTTTTCCTTAATGAGTACAAACTGCTTGTTGACCACTCTACCATCACCCTGACCTCAGACTATGTCTGCAGCCATCCGTACAGCAGGGCCACTGCTGTGAGTATGACTCAGATTATGAAACACAGATTCAGAGGATGCATCATATGAATAATAAATCTCATATCATCTATTTTATTAAAGCATGAAGCGGATTCTGGACGACGCTGCAGCTTTGCAGTAATGGAGGAATTAAAATTCCTTTCATGGCTGGAGGAAGGCAAGGCTGCTGCCGAGATCATTAGTGGGTAGTTTCCCTCAAATTTAATTTGTGGGCTGCTTATTGTAGGAAATTTACCTTTGTGCAACAACCAGTAACATGAATATGTCACACATGAGATGGAAGCAAGGACCGCTTACAGACAAAAAGAAGGTTTTTTTATTTAAAAAGCCAAATTCTTAAACAAAAACAAATGATCAAAATTTTATTTGCATCCATCCATTTTTGGCCGCTTATCCAGAGCCGGGTTGCGGGGCAGTAGCCTAAGCAGAGAGGCCAAGACTCCAGACAGCTCCTCCAGGGGAATCCCAAGGCGTTCCCTGACCAGCTGTGAGACATAGACCCTCCAGCGTGTCCTGGGTCTTCCTTTAGGCCTTCTACCAGTTGGACGTGCCTGGAAAACCTCACCAGGGAGGCGTCCAGGAGGCATCCTAACTAGATGTCCGAGCCACCTCAAATGGCTCCTCTCCATGTGGAGGAGCAGTGGATCTACTCCGAGCCCCTCCTGGATGACAAAGCTTCTCACCCTATCTCTAAGGGAGAGCCCAGTCACCCTGCACAAACAACTCATTTCGGCCGCTTGTATCCGCAATCTCGTTCTTTCGGTCACTACCCAAAGCTCATGACCATAGGTGAAGGTAGGAACGTAGATCGACCGGTAAATCGAAAGCTTTGCCTTCCAGCTCAGCTCGCTCTTCACCACGACAGACCAGTACAACGCCCGCATCACTGCAGATGCAGCACCAATCCGCCTATCGATCTCACGCTCCAGTTTTCCCTCACTCGTGAACAAGACCCTGAGATACTTCAAGAGCAAGTCACCCCAAATCACATTTTATTTGCTGATAAACTATATAAAGGAGTGTCTAATCATGCTACAGACACGTGTAGTCAATAATTTCGCAGTTCAGTGCATCTTGGTTAAAATTCAAATATTCTGTCTAAAACTGGCAGTGTTGCGCCGTCGTCAGGGAAAAATTCTGCACTGTATTTGAATTTAAATCTGCCACCGCTATTGGCTAAGAGGTATGCTATGATGTCATCTGGTACATTATGATGTCATAATGCCATTGTGAGCCTGTGTGTGTGTGTATTTGTTAGCGGCTCCGCCCTCTCTGTCTGCCAAGCAACAGCATTTGTTGCATTTTTCAACCATAAAGTGGGAGTGAAGTAAGTTTCTTGTAGGGGGTGACTTGCTCTTTAAACTACTCCACTTGGAGCAGGACCTCATCCCTGACCTGGAGAAGGCATTCTACCCTTTTCCGACTCAAGACCATGGTCTCAGATTTAGAGAAGCTGATTCTCATCCCAGCTGCTTCACACTCGGCTGCGAACCGCTCCATTGAGAGCCGGAGATGACGTTCTGATCAAGCCAACAGGAGCACATCATCTGCAAAAGCAGAGACTCAATCCTTAGGCCACCAACACGGATTATTTGCAAAATACTCAAAACAGTGTCATCATTTGCATTTTACTGTAACAAACCAATATGTGAATTAGGACGACACATCATAAACCATAAAAGAAAAACTATTTAGAGTAATTAACAAAACAAAATGCACATTTTATTCAAATTTAACCTAACATAAAACTATAACACCCACTGATTAGTAAAAAATAAATAAGTAGTTTAAATATTAGCCTAATTTGTAAGCAAATGATAGAATGAAAAGTTTCATTTCCCTTTGTTTCAGAAGTTCTCTTCTTGGACTGCACTGAAAATCTTTTTTCTTTGGAATGTTAAATATAACCCAATAAAATCATTTAAATGTGACTAAATATATTAAAGACTTAAATGAAGAAAAATAAGTTAATTCTACCCATTTTATTTAATTAACAAATATAACCCAATTATAATGTGTAGAACTTTCCCAAAAATACTAGTTCAGCACTGCTGGAATACCATTTTTATTTTATTTAAATAACAAATAAAACAATTGCACCTGCTGGCCAGAGTATCTGTTTACAGTTCTGTGCTGTAATTTAAGTAGCAACAGCTACAGACACACGTTAATTATAAGGGAATAATTCATCATGTCTAAAAAAATCTGGCACAACAGTGAATTCAAATTCAGTCTAGCTTTTGTAAAACACAAATATGGCATTTTGTATTGGTTTTAGTTGATTAAATGGTTATTTATACCAGTATTGCATTGGGCAGCAGTATATCTCAGAAAGTAGAGCAGGTGGTCCAGTAAGTGGAGAGTTGCAGGATGATCTAGATTTCAGCATGCGTGTCAAATTTGGGTAATATTTATTAATAAGTGTCGGTAAGATTTTACTCAATTCCTTTAAGTTTTTCTTAATTATGAGTATAAAGTACTATTTATAATCACATAAGGGGTATAAATTAATTAAGCAAATTTTGTGCAAAATGTTACCTACATTTTATTGGGTAGTTTGTATAGGTTGCTTTTTATAGTCTAGAATTATACTAGATTATTGAACGATTTAATCTAAAACACATGGAAATGGCTATATACTGGATAGACGTGGTAAGGTGCTGAGTTTGGGTAAAAAGTAAGTCAGATTGTTAAAAATTAATCTCTGCCTACCTGGCTTCCTGTAAAAACCAGGAAAATGTCAACATTTTTTCTATTGAATAAAAATGCCAGCGAGTCAGATTTTCAGACTGTGTGTCAGGAGTTTATTCATGCCTGTGTGTGTGTGTGTGTGTGTGTGTGTGTGTGTGTGTGTGTGTGTGTGTGTGTGTGTGTGTGTGTGTGTGTGTGCTCAGCATGCATCCCTCCTCCCCCTTCCCTGCCTTTCTCCAACATCCTGCTCTCAGGAGGTCTCTGCTCTCTGTCACTGAAGCTAACTGGGGAATAACTCATCCCCACCAGCAGGGTAGTAAATCATCCACCATGTCCCAGCATGCACAGGGGCTGATTCCTGCAGACACAGTGACAGTACGCACGAGGATGAAAGTTTGATTAATGAAATGTAAAAGCAACAAATCACTGATCTGTTTCGGCTGGGTTTATTATGAAGAGCTGAGTGAAGTTATATCAAAACGTTGGCATATTCTTTATTATAAAATATTTTTGAGTTTCCGAACCCTTGATCTCTGAAAGCCTGTTTCTATCTCAAGCTGGATCCATTAGAGTGATTTAGGCTGATTGGTCCTGGCATTCATGGAAGGTCTGGTTCCCCATCAGCAGAATGGTGGTGAGAAGATAAACTCTGGGGACATGATGTGGTATCCACATTTGAAAATATCTTTGGATAAACTGAAATAATAATTCCATCTGTGAGTTTTCTCTTCATAATAGTTTTCCTCTGCCTTTGTGATGATATCTTTATTCCATTAGCCCGAATGCAAATCAGGTTTTGTTTTTCACTAGGAGTACATCTGATCTCCTCTCTGAATGCAGAGGTTACCCGGCTGACAGACAGCCTCATGTTGCAGAGATCCTGTTGCAGCCAGAAGTTCCTGCAGCTGTTGGTTTTCCAAAACCTACCCCATTTTAATCAAGCCTCAGTGGTTCTTGTCCAAAAAGTCCTTGACCCAGAGAACCCAGCCTCTTCTTCTCTGCCTCCTCTCCGTATTCAGCGGTCTGAGGTTTCCACCAAGCCAGACAGACGTGGCCCTGAGCAACCAAGACAAAGATAAAAAAAAGTGCATTTATTACAGGAAAGTGATTTCTAAACATTAAACAAAACGCATGTTTCTGCTTTTATTTCTGGAAGAGACAGGAACACAAAGAGCCACGGAGACACGAGGCTTGGATCGCAGATGTATCCTGATACTGTAAAACAAACTGTGTCCTTCTTTCTCTGATTGAATTAGTCGCTGACTCAATTACACAATTAGTGTTTCTCTGTCAGAGGATACAAGCGTACTGTATTACACCCATGTGTTTGTGTGTGTGTGTGTGTGTTTACACAATAAGTGAGAGGTTTACGGCTTTCCTGGGAAACAACTAGATGAAAATGAGAGGAATTTTCCTCTGAAGTTGAGAATAAAACAAAATTGAGAGCAGAATTTATAAGTTCAGAGTGTAAAGCTAAATGTTATGAAGAGGAAGATGCACTCGCTCTCAGTGCAGGTTGGAAATCACCATCTGATCCTGTGAGGAGAGCAGGAACAGGATCTTATGGTAGAGACATGGAGGAGACTCAGCTCCATGGTTCAAAGGAGAGGTCTCCATGTATATTGGTGTCTTGTTCATGATTAGTGGCAGGATGAAGAAGTGACGGATTAATGAATCATGACTGAAATGGGGGATAAGGTGAGAGGCTCCATCCTCTGGTTGGAGCTCGGTGTGAAGCCACTGCTGTGAAGTAGGTTGGGCGCTTGATCAGAAAGGATCCTGGGCACCTCCCTCTGGAGGTTTTACGGCACGTGTGACTGAGAGGAGAACTCGGCGGAGGGATTTAATATTCACTCTGTCCTGGGAATAACTTCTGATCCACCAGGAGGAGTTGGGGAGAGGGATGTCTGGGAATCCTCTCTGGATCTGTTTCCTTCACAACCTGGTTTGGGTGGATGGTGATTATATAACTGAAGGAAAATGAAACTGAGCAGATAAACTAGTACAAGTAATGTGCTTCCTTATAAAATGTTAGATTAAATTGTGTTTAATCAAATATTAAAACATCATTTTGTTTTTCACAACACTTTCAAACATATTTTTCATTTAAATCATAAAATACTCAGAATAAACCAATCTCAGCATTTTAACTTCACTCAAACGTGCTTCTCTCTCTCTCTCACACACACACACACACACACTGGACACAGCTCACATGGATGCAATATGGGACAAAGGTACACTAAACAGTGTAATTCAGCAGCAACACTTACTACACGCTAAAGGATTTACACCCACTTCTCCTAAACTATCCATCCTCCTGCATCTTTCAGCGACATGAGTGGAGCCACTAAAGCTGAGACCACGTGATCTCTGACGTCCCCCCCCCCCCCCCCTCCTGTGGGATGCTGAGATGGAATTTGCGGTAGCTGCATCATCCAAAACTCTGACAAGCTGTCACGTAGAAATGAGCCCTCCACCTCACCCTCCTCCACCCCCAGAGCTTTGGATGATTGACAGGACCCTTTTCTTCCTCCCCTTTCACACTCCTCCTCGTCACAAAGCAACCTAGTTTTCTCTTTATTTATAATGTCAAACGCAATCATCTTAAACCCGTTTTAGGAATTATGATTGTTCAGTTCCTTTTAATCTCGGTACTGTGCTACTGGGGGGGGGGGGGGGGGGGGGGTTCATCCTTCCCCCCTCTGACCTTTTCTCACAGAAGAACCTCCTTCTGACAATCCAGCTGAAACGGACAGGTTTACTGAGACAGAGTCAGTAATTGGTTATCGCCACTGACTGAATCTTTTTCTCTCTTCCTATCCAGCGAGCGTTTAAAACACTGAGCCACCGTTCCGGCCCGTTTCATCGTTCACGCTCCTCCTTCTGGAAGTCCTGATGTGTGTTTGTGATCTCTGGGCGTGTGATGGAAACCAAACGTCTCTCACATGAGGTGCAGCGGAGAGGAGGTGGAAATGATGTGCTTTGTGGTTTCCAACACCTTCTGTGTTCTCTATAGACATAGCCTGTTTGGTCTGCTGTCATACGTGTGTGTGTGTGTATATACTTGTCTTTAAATGTTTAGGTGGACAAATTGGGACTTTAACCTGTACTGTGTGGACATTTCCACGTTGTGGGGACATTTTGCTGGTCCACACACTGTTAAGCACCCTAAAACTTGGTTGTAGAGGTATGGTGTGAATTCACTGCTGGCAAACAGCTGTCTGAGACAGTATCGACTCACACTGAGCACTGTAATGGAGAAGATGCTCTGCGGGACTCACGGAGACTGGCAGGCTTCATGGACTGCAGACTGCAACTGGTGTTATTTGAAAAGAAATACCCAAATATGGTTAGCACAACTTAGAGAACCTAAATGAGAAAGACCCAAGTGCCAGAAAACAAAACTCTGCATTGATCAGAGCTCGGAGTGGTGGCTGGATAAATTTAACACCCTTGAAACTAGCTTGGCATTAATGTGTCCACCTCCTGCCAAAGTGTGGTGGGGCTCAGCAGGTGTTGTCATGGTGTAAAGCACTGTGATGTGAGCTCGGTTAAGGCAGGCTAACGTTGGCGCAGCTGGAGGCCACAGTGGGAAGGTGACAGATTTGGAAGGGCACGCTAAAGGGCCAGTAGGAGATGGTTTTCCAGAGCAATCTCTTTTTGCCTTTTTGCTTGTAATGCTCTTCGCAGTAGGCAACCAATAAATGAAATGTTTGTCAAAAAAAGGAATACCGTAGTTATAATCCCCTCAGAAATCTGCAGTCCTCATTGCAGATGTCGCATTCTTAATGACTGGACCATGAATCTTCCACCAAACTGCCCTCTGACCCCTCCCCTCCCCTCCCCCACCACACACACACACACACACACACACACACACACACACACACACACACACACACACACACACACACACACACACACACACACACACACACACACACACACACACACACACACACACACACACACAAACTGCATTCACACCTATGTGTGCATGAATCATGCATTCTCGGCTTGGAGCAGCTGAACAGCAAGCAAAGCCAGAGCTGGGCTGTTTATATTGGCTAGCATACTAAATTCTTATACGGTAACAGAAAGATGGCGCCCTAAAGCCACAACCCAACATCCCATTCCATTATGGTCCCATCCCACCCACAAAGTTACTGCAAAGCTCCACTGCTTTCAACGCTTCTCTCACTTCACACACCATGCTCGTCCAACCATTATTCTCCAACGACACACTTGTTCTCATCGTGGGAAGACTTGCTGGATGAAAAACAGATGAAGACTAGACGTAGAAGTTTTGTTTAGAAATTCCATCACCTGCATCCTACAAAGGTGTTTCCTTCTCCATCATCGCGGTCGTGCCCATGCACTAAAAAAACAGCAATATTTTAAAAATAATACAATCATAAAAAACATTATAGTATCACATTTATACTTGAGATGTGTCTGAAGCAAGAACATCCCAATGTGCTGCCTAGTGCTAGTGCTACCACTGTGTGGGAGGGAGCATGTGCTCGAATGCACAGAAATGCTGATTTTGCCACTCAGAGCGTGGCAAAAATAGACTGCTGTCCGCTCTGCACACCGAGCGCCGGCACGCAGCCTGGATTCAGACCCCGCTCCGAGTCCACCGGCTGCAGTGACGTTTCCCTTTAGACAACAACAGATCTGAAGACTCAGACCACCAGCGGACACTGAAACACGGCCGACTGGCTTCTTTTTTATGAGCCCCTGAAGCAACAACGACAACCACCTGTCACAAACAATAACATGACTGTGACCATGGAAGCAGGGAGAGTGAATGTAAGGCATGCCGGTGGTAAGGGAGAGCCTGACAGATGATGGAGGAGCTATGAAGTCTTAAAACTCTTAAAAAGAAGACAGGAGGTTAATACCCTCCTGAAATAGCTAATAACTTCATCCTGTTGATTAAAACGTCACACAGAATACTTTCAATGGATCACGCAGAAACAAGTTATATTTCTGTTTTAGTAATGTTTGCAAAGATGATCCAAATGTACAAGAACCAGCTTTAGAGAATAAAATCTTCTCTATTTGTAGGAAAAAAGAGGCTCACAGTAGACAGAATCCCCTCCCATCCCTTTGTGCAGACTAAGGCAAATGCAAACACACCTCATGCATATTTAAGTTCAGTTTTGCATAAACGTTCTAGTCTGATGACTTGTTGGTCTCTCCTCTTTTTTTTTCCAGTGAGTGTTGAAGAGGATAAGTGGAGACTGAAACAAGAACCAGTTATTTTTGTAGGTGTCTCCGCTGGGATGATGTTATACAGAAAATACAGAGTAGAAAAAGGTCAGAGTGGAGCAGACGTGCTCTTGTTGAATGTGAAACTCATCCTGATGCATTGTGGGATTTTCGTTGAAATGTTCTGGTGTTTGTGAAGAATATTTAAGAAAAAAGGTAATAAATGAAATGGGACTTTTAAGATAGTTGGATACCTTCTTAGACCTCTCCTAAAGGCATCATTAGACTGAATATGAATGGTAACGGACCCGTACTTGTATAGCACCTTTCTGAGTCAGAGGTCTCCAAAGAGCTTTACATCACAGTGCATCATTCATCCATTCACACGCACTGTGATGATGAGCTACATTGTAGCCACAGCTGCCCCGGGGCGTACCGACAGAGGCAGGTTGAGTGTCTTGCCCAAGGACACATCAGAACTTTCTGGCAGAGCTGGGATCGAACCTGCAACCCGCTTTACTTACTGAGCCACTGCTGCCATATAAGATGGTAAAAATTACCAGTAAAACTTTATTTTGTTTCTTCAAAGAAGCTGATGAATTTCCTCAAGTGATGGATGGGTACCTTTGACATTTTAATCGATTCGGTACTAATTCCCGGTACCTAGGAATCGATACCGGTACTTAACGGTACCAATTTTAGATACTTTTGAGTGTTTAATATTTTAATTCTCTTTTATAATTAAATGTATATTTTCTCAATATATAACCATATTTGATAAATATCACGATAAATAACATACAACTGTTTGTATTTTAACATCGTCCTTGTAGTTTTAT